GCTTAGCTTGTTTAAATTGGAGCAGTCAGTCAAGGCCACATAACTGGCAAATCAAAGAAGCAAGAACCACATGGATTTCAAAAAGGGCATCTTTAATGCTAGTCAGGGTAAAACATAATCTTGAAAAATGTAAAGAGTAAATTCCCAAGCAGAGTTATGGTGACTCAGTTCAAATGGAGTCTCTTTGAAATGCGTCCATCCATGGCCTCCATATCTGTGCTCTGCCTGTTCTCACATCAACTTAACTCCTTCTTCCCCACCTTCTTTCCACAGTCTCTCACACAGTCTATATATTTTATAAATGTAATAACAAAATCAAAATATTAAATTTTATTGTGGTTGTTCTATTTAGGTTGCAAACAAATATGTGATTCTGTAGGAGCAGGCCCTCTAGAACTCAGTGATCAAAAGTAGATTTCTACAGGATTCCACGATTACTTTCTCTTTTCCCCCCTTACATAATTGTACAGAAGGCATTGTTTTTAATATATTTTTTAAAACACCCTATTCTAATTAAACAGTCAGTCAGAAAAAGGATATCGCTAAAATTAAAACATATTCTAATCTGTCAACTCTGCCAATTAAACTAGTAGTTAATCACTTGAAATGTCAGTCTTCAGTCACAAGTTAAAGCTGGCAGAACTAATTTTTAAAGTGATTATTCTGTTATTCCTATTTTGACAAGACTTCTTTTTCTTAGAAAAATACACGATTAAAAGGGTTATTTAAAGTAATAGGTTTCATTCAATTTCTAAATACTTTTAATTAGAAAAGAGCTTTAATTGGCTCAATTTGTCTCAAGCATAGCCAAAAATATATGCAATTAGTCCTGGAAAAAAATCTATCTATGCGGTCACTCAGTGGACATTGACATGATGACACATAGTAGATCAAAATATTCAATTAAACAGATAATCTAGGATGACACTAGCTTTTTTCCCCTTTTTTTTAAAAAAACCACAACTATCCCCTTTTTTTTTCTCCTTTTCCTAATACATCTGTTTTATAATGGCCCTCTGTTAAACCACTGGCCAACCCCATTTCAGCTTGGTCTGCTGTGGGAACACAGCCACATGGCTGGTGTATATTCAGTGTATTATGCAAACTCGGACAATTGGACTGAGTAAATCATGGTCAGTTTAACCATAGATTAATATTTCACACAAACATACATATTATCATAATTGCTTCCATTTGTTGATCCTTTTACACTCTTGCCAACTTAATCTTAGATAATTAAAGTTCCTTGATTGTGAGACTTAACTTAATAAATATGGGAAGGAGCATGAAGGGAAGAAGTTGAAAACAGAGGCACCCATAAGTGGGCCAACAATGTCAAAATGGTAGGCGTGACCAGGCAATCAAAACCCTGGTCCTTTTTAACATGCTGCATGTGCATTGCACATACATAAAAGGGGTGGGGCTTTGATTATCTGGACGCACCTGTCGTTTTGACATAGTTGTCCCCCAGCATGGACATTCCTGCTTGGGAACTGGGTGGAATCAAACCAAATCCCAGCAAGATTACAAGAATAACAGACCACAAAATGGGATTCCTTTTGTTATAACTTACGATAGTGTTCAAACCCCGCAATTATGGTTTGTAAATAGTGGTTAATGGCTTACTGTGTTGTGCGAAATCAGTCAGTGCATGAGATAAATGTTGAAAGGTAGCACTTCAAAGAAACTAAAGGTTGGTAGAAGGACATGCTTTATGAAGAAACGCCTCCTTTAGGGGTACAAAGTACATGTCAATAACTCCTTCCCATGAAGGGAAGGGGTTCTGCTCTAGAAATGTAGAGATTTACTGGAATCAGTGGTGAGCTTTCTATATCCATTGAGTCTACTCAACATATTTAGATTTGTGGAAAACACCCAAAACCAGAATCCTTCGCTTCAGATAGAAAGTATTAGCTATTTTCTAAGAGGAAGGGCCATGATATTGATACTGGACTAAGAGGAGCTCCTGCACTCATCCACTTGCCCTCCTTGTGGTAAATACTGTGAATATTTCAAATGTCAGAAGAAAGCAATCTTTTATTTATTTACTTTTTAAATATCCTGATTTTTTCCTAAGAAAATCAAGGAAGTGTATATTCTGAGAGTTGCAGTTCTAACACAGTGGTCACTTGGGGAAAGCTGGTATAATACTGTATAACACTTTCTGACAGCAATAATGTACATAAACCAAGTGTCAGTGGTCAGCCATTACCATCCCTTCACACAACTATTCCAAGGATTTTATGGTTAAGTACTGTCAGCTTGAAAAAACTAGTCAACTGTTACTACGGAAAAGGATATTGAATTCAGTGCTCTGATCCCTTCAGACTGGAGGGTGATATGATCAAAGTTGTAATCATAACCACCTGGCCATCACTGGGTTTATAGATTTATATTATTTGGGAATTACAAAATTGCTGTCTTGTTGAAGTTCAGCATAAAAAAAATCAGTTACAAGGACCTATGGACCAAAGAGATCTTGTCTGTGTGTTTGCCTTCGAGTTAGTGTTGACTCCTGGCAACCGCCTGGACTAGTCCCTGCAGTTTTCTTGGCAGCATTTTCAGAAGTGGTTTGCCATTGCCTCCTTCTTAGGGCTGAGAGAGAGTAACTGGCCCAAGGTCACTCAGCTGGCTTTGTGCCTAAGATGGGATAGAACTCATGGTCTCTTGGTTCCTACAGCAAACTGGCTCTTGTTAAAGAGATCTTAATAAAGCATTACATACATCTTACCAGTATGATAAGTTCTGGAAACCACTCTGTACGAGGAATGGTGAAAGGAGTCAGAAAGGATAAGCTTCCAGAAGAGGAGAGTTACAGTGGTGGTCTACAAATATCTACAAAGCTATTGTGAGGGAGTGGACCTGTTCTCTTTAGAAAGCAAGGGCAAGACAAGGACTGGTGAATTGTCATATAAAGAAAGGAGATTCAGGTTGAATATGAGCAGGAATTTCTTGATGGTAAGAGCTGATACATTGAAGAGTTTGCCTTAGAACAGCGATGGATTCTCTTCACTGAAGTTTTTCATATAAGGGTTGAATGGCCACCTGCCAGTGATGGTTTAGTAGAACCTACACTGAGTAGATTATCTATAAGGTCCCTTCCAATTAATGCATTTTATGATTCTACAAATATCTCTATTCTTGGAATAATTAAAAAAATCGGTAATATCTCAATAGTATACTTTTAGAGCATTTGTTGGAACTGTTTGGAATGTGCAAGCTCCACCCATTGTTCATAAACTATAATCCTTTTTTTTTTTAAGTTTCACCTGCATACCTATTTACTGAATACAAAACTAAAAGACATGCCAACCAAAATAAATACCAGCTGCATGGGAGTTTCTCTCTCACCTGAATATAGCAAATTTGTTCTTTTCCACAGTAATGGAACAAACACTGAAGCTGATAGCTTTATCCCAATCCTCATCTGGTCTAGTGAGAACCATAGATTTTTTTTTATTTCCAAGACTTTCAATCAGAATTCTTTTACTTGGTGCCCTCCAGATATGTTTGACTACAACTATTATCATCCCTAACAACTACAGTCATCCACAAGAGTGGGAACAACTCATGTTGTTGACTCCAGCTTGAAACAGAGTAGTTACTAAGTTTTCATGGCATGGAGCTAAAGTTTATCTGCTAATACCAGCATATTAAATTGTTAAATTATATGTAATTGATCCTTTCCCATCCTGGCACCATCCAGATGTGTGGCTGGTAGTCCAGGGCATGTAGAAGGCAGTAAGTTGCTGAAGGGTAATGATATTGAATCTCTGCCCACCTTCCTTTTCATAAGCTCTCACACAGAATATATTTGTCACATACTTCTTTTACAAAGTTTTACATGAATTCCATCCCACTCTTAGGTGACGGCAGGGGGTGGGGGGAGAGAATTTTTCTATTTTTACATAGTGCATATCCGGTATGCTGTTTTTACCTTTACTGACCACCGAGAGGTGGTACAAAAGTAGGTCATATTGAATTACCTACTTTGGAAGTTGCCAGTCCTTTTACAATATCCATTTTTAGCTTATCCACTCCTAGTGTCTGTATGTTAGAGTTAAAATGTATTTTCATGTGTGTAAAAGGATGTCCACAACTGTCTTTTGTATTGTGGTTTTTGTTATAAAAGACAAAAAAAGAGTACACATGCATTTTGTTTCCAATTAAGGAAAGTATTTAATACTTTGTCAACAACCCAATTCATGTTTTCTAGTACAGTGGGTATGTATGTATGAGTACATGGTAATGTAAGACTTGAGTATATTTAACATATCAGTTTAATCAGTTATTGCTTGCAGTTCATTAAAACAGTCTTTGACATACACTTGTAAATTAGAAGGCAGAATAGGGAGGGGGAGGAGAAGGAGGAATAAGACATTGTATAATGATAATGATAATAATTCACTTAAATAAGAAA